ACAATTCGCCGTGGTTTGGTGATAATGAGTCGTGCATCATTAATCTCAATTGATTTATTAATCACAGATCCCATTGATGGTCACATCAACTCTTGTTTTAAATTTGCTCACAAGATTCTAGATGACACTCTTCATCCACTACACCCTGATCTTTCGTCTTGTCGTTCCCATCCGTCCACACGTTTCTCATTTCGACAGCTACCCTCTTGCATTACCATTTATAAAAATTCCCCTGTACCCTAACCGACCCGACTACTTACCAAAGACGAACAGGTAGCAAATGAACTATGTGAAATGCTTGGTACATGAAACGTATATCACCGACATTCTTTACCTTTTGTTTTTATTATTTTTATTTCATTCTGCGTGACGAACTGTGTACATTTTCAACTGAAATGTAAGTATATGTGCTTACACAAGTTACAAATACAATACAATGCAAAACAATACTGCGTCTCATTTCATCTGACCGTAACCTCGCAGAACATGAAGTTGTGCCCGAAATTCCAAAATGTACATATAAGGAGAACCGCCTCCAAGGGTTTTCTTTCCGGTGAATAAACATAATCATTTACATTCTTACAACAAGTGATTTTCATGCGAAAACACAGCAATCAGTTTCAACTTGTTTATTTCTCCGTTCGACGTCACGGATGTAGTACGGTTTAAAAGGTAAGACACATGACTTACTTAGTTGGGGTAGTGCCATTTGATGCGTGCTGATCCGGAATGATTCAAAAACATTTTTTCCTATACTGCAGCTATTTGTACTCGGTTGTAAAACATCAACGGATTGCGTCACATGAACCCCAGTTATCAGCTGTAAATAAAGCAAGTGAATTCCTTGATCACGAAACGGGATGTACTTTTTGTGTGAACGTTTAATGTATGCAAGCTCGAATCCAAAACGTGAATGAATAAGTACGGTTTCTATTTCCACGAAGTCACAGTAATTGATTTTGACTCGTATGATGTTTTCACTGCATCGGACAACACTTACACCGATATCTGGACCGCCGGATGGTTTTAAATTTACTTGCTGAATTAATCCCTGTCCTTCTTTTATACTAATTACTATATATTTCACTTCGATTGCGCAATGATTTTGTCTTTTAGGTATTGTATTTATTACCGTAGTATTACTGCGAATAAGTGTGAAGTGTATTTAGGAATACGTTTACAATTGGGGACTGGCTACAACCTGATTGTAGCTCCTAATCGCGTTACTTTATAAACCATAACAGTGATTACACTTTAGGTAAATTTTGCCGACTGCTTTTTTCAGATGAACCGAGTTAGAAATTTCCTCGTTCTATCGTTAGTTATTTCCATTTTGCCCAACTTTGTATTATTCCTGTATATTTTATTATTGTACAATTGTGACTTCAAGAATACGCGCTATATTCGTTTGATGATATGTCGCGAATCTGCGAGTTTAGTGGTTTACCGTTAAGTTTTTTGTAATTCACACATTGCTACCTGTAAAATGTTCGTTTTGAAGATCATATTCCCCCTGCTGACATTTTTGCATGTTTTATCAGCATTATCTGTCCTAACTTCCAACTGTTTATAACCAGAAGCATTCTGTTGTATCTGCATAATGCAATAATCGTCAAAGACGAGGTAAACTGCGCTCAGTATCCTCGTCTCAGATTGTGAAATAGCGCTAATCCTACATTTCTCGGCTTAACGCCTGCCACTCTTCTCTTGTGCATTCCGTGGCAAGTGATTGAGAATCACTTTGACGGGATGCACAAATTTTGAAGTGTGGTCCATACCAACAGACGGATATGTAGTTTATCAAATATGTGGAAAGATAAAATGTTTAAGGTGCTGGAAAAAATGCGCACGGTATTCTGTGGGATGTCAAATTGATTGCTTTAAACGATATTTTGTTTTACTTTAAAACACGTCTAAATCCAAACTGTGTGCGAAACAAATCATGATACAATAATCTTTATGAAAAAGAAAGCCGTTCCATGATTGGCATGTGGGCTGAATACTGCCAGGCGGCCCGGGCCAAGGCAGATGAATTTTCTTGAAGAATCAACTACCGGAGCCTTCGGCTAACCAAAGCCTGACTCGCAAGGCAGCGGGACCGTGTGTGAAAACCGCAATATATTGGGAGCCGGTGTCCATTTCATCGGATCATACGTCCTTTGGCCGGGCTAGACGCCCAAAGTGCCCAATACACCTCGATACCAAATTGAATCGATGACTACAACCGCCACAACCGGGTGTGTGGTTCGTACGTCTCCTCTTGCTTGGTTTGGAATCAGGGTTTTTGGCCGACTCTCCTAGGTGAACTACCAGTGGTCCACCAACCCGGTTAGAGCCTCGGATGTCGGCTATCCGTCCGTTCACTTTGGTTGTAAAACACCTCCGCCACGAGAAGGCGGTGAGTAGGGCTTCTTCAGCAGAGGCTATTTGAGACGCTTGGTTATATGGAAGCATTTCGCGAGGTGCAAGGGTAGGGCGACCAGCCGCAACCCTAGACACCCACCCCTGAACATGCTGAGGCTTTTGGAAACTTTTAGACGATATGCCGGAGTTTTGTCTATTATGTATTGCGGCACATTGCGGCGAGATTGGTTTGAATTAAATAAACTATTCCAGAATATAGCAAATCGTTTTGAAAGTCAAATCAAATCATGGAGATGAAAAAACACTGAAATTATATTACTTTGAATGACTTGAATCTTTTGGTTAATTCGACAAAACGCTTTGTATTCCACAGGGTTAATGACGTTAAGTAATTAAAATAAGCTTCCCTGATTAAATTATTCTGTAATCACGTTCATTTAGTTGATATGCTTTTATGTTTCTATTCCTTATTCAGGTAAATTATCACGGAATTCGTCTGGCAAAGTATTTAAAGTTCCAGTTTTATCCATGTTGTCTTGGACATCTCCGGAATGTTGCGCTACTCTGTATCGCATGTTTTGAACATGTCTGACAAGTATGCGAAATTTCATCCGGAAGCTCGTCTAACGCTCAGCGTGGATGACGAAGTTTTGCAAGGTGAATTATCACAGACCAGTACGAACTCTAAGCTATCAGATAAGAAAACGACTCCCGGGGAGACGCAGAATTCGCCTAGTTCAACCACGGACCCAGGAAAGACAATTGCACCGACGAATACCAGTTTGGTCATCATTCAACCCAATCTCATCAATGAATCCCCGAAGAGGTCAAGTAGGGGACATCAATCAATAAGAAGAAGATTACGTAACGCGCGTGCTACGTTCTCCAATCACTTCAGGAAGAGCCCCTCCAAAGGAGATATGCCCTTACAGAATCAAAGCGACGTGTCGGACAACCAAGATCCAAAAGATACAGGCAAATTTCAAGCGGAAAATACTGGCGGTATTCATCTCAGCGATAGAAAACGTACAGTCAGTGTTGATAAACTGAATACATCGCGAGATGCCAGACTATCTGATCCAGGACAGATAATTTTTATCCGAACTCCAGATCACGTTAGTGATAAAGAGAAATCAACCACAAATCCGGATTGGTCTGCTCATGCACGAGATAAAACTCATCGCGAACATCGTAGTGCATTTCACCTTGACCCACATTCTACATTGCTTTCAAATGACACAGAATTCCGGCGTCGAGCGAGCCAATTATCTCTGTGTGATCCCCAACGAGACCCATTTCAAAGTTCCCTGATGAGTAGTATGCTTGGTCTGTCTGGAGCTCAGTCGCAAATGATAACGGAACAAATCAACGATCTGGCCGCGGCCTATCAGCAAATTATTATCGGTCTTGGAGAGGATCCCACTCGACAGGGGTTGATCAGAACCCCAGAAAGAGCGGCCAAGGCTATGCTATATTTCACCAAAGGTTACGAGGAACGGGTCAGTGATTTTCTCAATGGTGCAATTTTCGACGAGGATCATGATGAAATGGTAGTGGTGAAAGATATCGAAATGTTCTCTATGTGTGAGCATCATCTGATCCCATTTATCGGAAGTGTTTCGATTGGCTATTTACCGAACAAACGTGTCCTGGGTTTGAGCAAATTGGCACGCATTGTGGAAGTGTTCTCGCGTCGTCTGCAAGTGCAAGAGCGTTTGACCAAACAGATTGCAATCGCTTTGGCCGAGGCCATACAACCACAAGGTGTTGGTGTGGTGGTTGAGGCAACACACATGTGTATGGTGATGCGAGGTGTGCAGAAAGTGAACGCGACCACGGTTACCAGTACGATGTTGGGTGCGTTCAAAGAGAATGGTCAAATGCGTGANATTTCTCAGTTTGATTGGACGGAAATAGTGCAGTTGCAGAGTAGCATACATATTGGTTTATACTATTACTGCTTGAAGCCGTCATTCATTTTACAAATCAGTCGTTGTACCAATTATCATTATAATTAGATTCAAGTTATAATATTGTTTTCACTGATTCATTTGCTTCGCGAAGGACACTCGATACATTAATTCCAATCGGTACTACAATACACGCAGTCACATGAGGGTGTGGAGCGCGGAAAACGGATCGATTTGAGACTTGAACTGAGGAGAAACCGATGGTTGTTGTATTGCACAAAAGTTTGCAATTTCGTTACAACCAGTTTAAATGGAAGGACAAGGTAAATCACATTGGTAGTATGAGACATTTGCTCTAGACTGATTTCTCATGTACAACAGATTACAGCAATCACCATATGGCATCACATTTTTGTCCATTTAATAAGGGCAGGTGAATTTTTGTATGTGAGCTGGAAAGAATTGAATTCGCAGAGACATGCTGGTGGAATGCACATTTTGTGCTCTCGTTTGAATGTCACTCAACAAGGAAAACATATCGCTAAGCTGCACTGATTGACCATCGTGCATTTTTGCGTTTCTATCCCCAAAAATAAGGTAATATTTGTCGTAAGAGGGATAATAAAATTCGTTAGTGATGGCTTGTATCACTTCTCGACTCACGTTTTGCTTTTCAACCTGATAGACTATAATTTTCAATCATGCACGATGATTCGGGATTTTAACATCATCAATGCATTGCTAAATAGAAGGCTCATATACGCGTGTGTGAAAAAGATAAACACGGCGAACATAGATTAGTGAAATAACTGCAAAAATGGCGCCGAAACAGTTTTTGTTGCTCACTACCTACCTTGGAATGAGGGAATGCAACATAGCGATGCAGTCGGTAACCTGTACGTGGACAACTGAATGAATTCACGCAAAGCTGATGGACCAGAGGAACTCGGTTCATTCCGTTCTTTTTTCATTCAAATGTGTCCAATAATCAAATATACTGTGGCATTTTTCAAACCGCTAAAATGTCTGTGGCAGTCGCCTATGGGCTGATGGTTCATAATAAACCAACACTAACTAATTTGGAATCAAACCCAACCGCCAGCCTACTGGCACAAAGACCAATTAACTTCCTATCTAATTACGTAACTAATTAGCTAACTAAACGACCAGCATGCTAAATAATTAACTGATTTAAGCGGTTAATAATTTATTAGTGAAAATATTTTCATAACACTAATTTCTAAAACATGTGTGCCATAGCATTTTGCTTTTTTAGATTGCCAAAATTGTACAAAAAGGCAGTCAGATAGATAACAGTTCGCTTTAATGCCTTGATAGGAAACGAATTCCGATATCTATCCGATTTTCAGTGCTCACGTGGTACAGGCAGCATCACTTATACTCTGATGTGTTCACGGGGGTGAGCTCCTCTGACTGAAAAGATGTGTTCCATTTCCTGCATCCGCACTGTTAGATGTTCGCTAGCAATCTGAATTCTGAGGGAATCTATGACGATAATTTGCGTATTATCTAAGCAATCTGCTGCTCGGTGAAAGCAAAACAAAAACTTTGACGTATTTAACGCCTCAGATAACGAAACACAGATCATAACATACAAACCTAATTGCACGAAAGGCAAACACGCAGTTATTTACTGCTGTTTACTATGACGTAACACTTCTCCTGGTTTCAGTTGTCCACGGAGATCTGTGAGATAACTTAACTGTGAAAAACTCGGATTGTAGGAATTTTTATGTGAAAACGGTTTGATTGGCTCGTTTCTTTTGATCAGGTCGTAAATATTTAGGAGGTTAGCTGGTATATAGGTAACCTTCTGAGAGAGTTCGCATTTGAATGGGATACTTGAAGAGGATCAGAAGCGGCTAGCTACCATGGGTCCAGTTCCCGCGTCCTCTAAACGTCAACTAGAACTGAAGTGAAGATTATGGGTAAAAATTGCAAACTGACGAGAAGAAAGAAAATTGCATGAGATTTTCTCTTTTCTGTTTAAAACATCAGTACAAATTCAACTATACCTACTGAATTTGTACTTTTAATTACGTCTACTAATCTCAAAACTACTTTTTGATGAATAAAGAGGGAAATTGAAAATCTATGGTGATTTTTGGCTCCATTTTACAAATATACTAGTCTTCGCTACTCGTTTCTTCTAAAAGGTGATTTCATCTGTCTCCGTGTTCCGGCGAATTTTAGGGCGCTTCAATCGTTCCGTTATCCAACCGAGTTCTCAAAACTATTTAGAATCGATCAATTTTACCAGGATTTGACTGGCCAGCGGACTGTGTTGAGGTTCCTGTGTGGGTGTATTTACATATCGCTCTGTATCCCTGTTTGTTTTGTTGCTCATGGGTTTGTGTCCACGTGAGAGATAGAGCGTGAGCAGAGTGGGGTTGACGAAGTTGCGAGATTGAACATGTGCGATAGGATCAAACTGCATGCGGACTCCGAAGGCTGAACATGCATCCGCTTACATCCAACGTACGTCCGCATGTTGGGGATTAGGCAGCGGAAAGACAGTGTCAACATATGCAAATTGTCAGCAGCAGGGTTCTGCAATGAATGACTGACTAAAAAAGGACATGAGCAGATTTGTTGTCTTCGGAGACGAAAAGAAGGCCAGAGTCTATCGGAAAGTATCTGTTGTTTGCGCGGCGGGGTTGGTCTGCGTACGCGTGTGAGTTCCAGGAAATAGCAACCCAACCAAAACCGGGGGTAGTGGTTGTTACAGTTTGGGAAATGATTGCAATCCTTGTTTGTGTGGGCAAACAGACCGGAAAATGTTCGACGAGATCGAAGTGAACGAGTGCCGACGGATGTGCACATACCAAGGGGATTGTTGATAAACTCTGGAAGATGTCTCAAGGGAAGGACGTTTTCGAGGCAAGTTTTCTATTTCTGGTAAAAGCCGATGAGTGGGCGTTGTCAACTCGATTATCCGACTTTCTGGAATGGGAATATTCAAATCGGTCACAATTTATGAGCACGTTCACACTTATAGACAATATTCGATTAAAAAATCTAACGACGAACTTCCTTTTACAGCATCTGTTACAGAACTATTCACTTAAATCAGTAGTTGTGAAAAAAAAGAAATCTGTCACTCAAAATGTTAACGTGAAGCCTTTTATTTGGGGGGGGGGGAGCGATCATATATTACTTAGTTTTATTGTAATTGATCCAATCTTCAATACCCTATTCGTTGAAACAACGAAGACTGCAAACATTGTTTCGGCTCTAGGTGATGTTATTGATCCGAAAACCTTCTATTCTAGATTTATCAAAACAACTTATGAATGGCTGAGGTTGTGCATCTTGAACGTTAAGGCTAATCAAGTTTTACGTTGATCAAAGCAATTTGAATCCGAAAGATTGAATACATTGATATTCAACGAAGTGACTATCCACCAGGTGTACTTGAAACACTCTATTGTTAGCTCCTCGTTATTATTTAATCTAGAAGCCTATTGGAACAAGTTAAAAGTTGATATTTTCCTTGATGTTCTGAACAGCCACTATTTCATTGAATATCGCTCAAGGCGGAAACTAGTGAATCAGGTTATCATAACCATTCCTTTTTTCACATCTTATGTAAGAAAAAAGTTGTGATATAGCACCAACAGATAACGCATTTTGCCATATCACTGTGAATCATTATTGTGTATGGAACTCTCACTTGGTAGTTAGCATAAATGATTCACTTCCCTTTTTGTTTATTTATTATATTGCATGTCAGTTTCTCATGACTTTTTTCAAGGCGTAAGACCCAGGTCGTAATTAAAATCTAACTGTACAACTGTACCAAGAAGACTGTATTTGAGACCATTTATCCTTTGGTTTGATTAGTAATAAGATAGACAATGGAATGTTTTCAGTTTAGTTGATTTAACAATTTCATTTATGTCGTCCATGGAATTTGATGAATTTCTGTTAGGATAGAGAAAATGATATTGCAGACACATCAACATAGTGTGCTTTATAACTGAGATAAAACCCTGCACAATCGACTATTAGAGAGAGACTACATTGAAGAAAAATAACTATGGAAAGTAATTGAGTCCATCCGGTTGGTTAAGGATTTGAAAGAGATTATGGAACTAAAAATAACTTTTTCAGCAGCGCTTCCCCTTTGTTTCATCGACTGTACCCAGTGAGTACACTGAGTGAATCACGCCTGATAGTGTGAAGAAAAACCACGTTCTACCGCATGAGAATGTCTGAGTGAATTGGCGTAAGTCATATTTTGGCATAACATTAAGATTCCCTGGCAGGCAACAATAAGGTTCACCATTTCAAGCCATTTTTTGTTGAATAACATTCTAACTTCCAACCGGAGCAAAGAAGCGATTGCAAACCTATAGAATGGAAAACTTGTCTTATGTATGGTCGAGAAAGTGCTTACGGTGTTGGATGGAGTGATCTGTAGGTAGCTGTTTATGGTCGTCAAAATTAGCGGTATCAATGAAAGCCCTCAAAAGTTGAAAATAGGCAAGTTATTGGAGAAATTGGATGTTTAAATCAAAGGCTGTACTCATTATATAGCTTAATATAATACGGATGGAAGTCGAAGTTCTTTAGAGATTTTATATTTTGGGGATCAGCGGAAATGGAGAGAAAATCAAAATAGGTTTCAAAAGGTTAGATAGAAACCGTAGTGAAGATTATCTGACTTGTCTCAGCTGAACATTCAGAGGTGACAAAATGGACTCTGTTCATGTAATAATTTGTTTGGAATGGTGGAAAACCTGTTTCCATGAGTCATCCGATGCAGAATGGATCAAAGAAGCACACATCTATCGTCTGAAAAGTTGACCTGTAAAAACTCTGATATAACACAGATAGACAAAATAGTATAGCCGACAATTGCTTCAAATGATCATTCTCAATCCCACTCAGAGCTGATGAAAAGCATTTGGGATTTTTCAGCTTTCGAAGTCATCTTGTGTCTAGGGACAATTTAGATAATTATTTGCACCCCAGAATTTGAAAACATACAGGGTACATTGTCCAATGCAGGATAATTTCCAAACACTGATGAATTTTCTATATTTAGCAGAAATAAATTCAAAGTTCGTTTTTTGGCTAAGCCGCGATAATATCACAACACTGTATGAGGAATTACTTGCAACCAGATCCTCCAATTTATTGGAAAAGCTGATGAATTTATCACTGGGAATATAAATGTTTCTTGTGCTTCAATGCAGTGTTTTCAGTGTTGTAGATTCCATGAACTGGTATGACCATGATTCAGGATGGTTTCGCCTATAATTGCTCATGTTAATCGTGTTTCCTATTCACCTAGATGCCCTTGCCGGATTGCGTTCGTGCAGATGCACCGACACACACACACACGAACGCATCGGTGGGAAAAAAAACGCAGATG